AAATTATTACTAAACTGTAGAATTTCACGAAACATTATGTTAATGCCTACATTTCATAATTTTTCGCACGATTTGCCTAAGTGACTGGAAAAATAAGAAAACTAAGAATTTCAAGAGCTGACATTCTATCCTCAACTTTCCGCAATTTCTCTAAATTATTACTAAACTGTAGAATTTCACGAAACATTATGTTGTCATCTATATTTCACAATTTGTTTTAATTATAATTTCAAAACACGTCGTTTTATTATCTTTCCACGATCAACTTTCCCTAAGCAACTGGAACAGAGAAGAGATTTGAAAATGCAACCCCTTATCGTCGATTCCCCGTGATCTCCCTGCCAGAAACAGGAAGAGCGCGAGGAGTTTCTAGGCTGTTGAGAGAAGCGACGAGCAACCGATGCTCGAGGATCGGCGCGATGATTGCGCCGTAATCTGCTTTCGTTTTGCACCGTAGAACGGGGTGCCAGTTGTCGTTTCTGATTAGCCCGAGGCGACTTCCGCCTTTCGGAATCGGTCGCTATCGAAATACCGTGCAACCGACAGAGAGGGACGCTCTAGCAGAACCTCAGACAGAGGGACGCAGACGGAGAAACACAGACGTAAGGGTAAACTCAGAAGAGCTAAAAGTGAGAATGTGTGAGAGGGAGAGAGAGAAAGAGAGAGAAACAACCCTCCTGACACGGGTTATCCTATAAACGGCGGCAAGCCTGCAGCTACGCGGAGATAATCCGGCCCCCGGGGTCCGCGTGCGGTTGAGCGCTCGCAACAGTTACCATATTTGATTGTATCCCTTCTACCCTGCTGGAATACAAAATAATAATGCGTCCTGCACGGACAGAGTGGCCCGATTAACGACGCTTGGCGAGCACGCTGAATCCGCCGTGGACAGTGGAACAGCCCCGAAGGGTTGTCAGCGGATCTTTGTGATTTGGGAGGAGGTACTGTGAGCAGTACAGAGACTGATCAAATTATTGCGATCACTTCGAAATTATGTATCGTTTATTTGAAGATCGTAAAAGAATGGAATTGAAAATACGCTTCAAATGAAACCCTTGTCATTGTAAAAAGCATTGTTTTCAACACTAAAATGACCGACCGAGTCAAATTGACCCATTGGTAACATTTCAAAAACAAACGAATGTTTGATAGTGGTACGTTTGTAACTTTCCGACTTTATTTTCTGCATGTAGACCTCTGTTCATATCGAGGTGAAAAAGGATTTTAAAACTTCTATAAATTATTATCCTTAAAACTGTTAAAAATAAACGAAGAATAAACGTAGACTAAACTTTTTTCACGAAGCGTTTGAGGCAATCGGGCTTGAAAATTCGTAGCGCATATTTGCACAAGATTCAGTTCTAAAAATTTCTTAACAGATATTAATCAAAGTTTGTCCGTGTGCTTTCTTGAGTTTAGTAACTCGTAAAAGTCGCGTACGTACTGTATGCAAACACGACATGCACTGTACGTCGCTCGACGCACCGTATTTCAACTATCTAACAATAAGTGTAAACAGATTTTCAAACCTGATTTTTTTGAGAAAAGGCCTCGCACGAACAAATTTCATTCCACAGTTTGTATTTATTTTTCTACGAGAAATCACCTCCTGCCCGCCAATATTTATGCAACCTTCTTTCATCCCCAGAAAGAGCAGAATACGAAATCAATGTTTGCCCACCTACATTTCCGTTAAACGATTACCATCAAGTTGTCCCTTTCGCTATCATCAGCCTCTCAAGACGTATCATTCAAAAGCAACGTCGCAACAGCACATGTATCTACGAATCACGGAAGTCCCCTCGGGGCGAAGGCGCGAGATTCCGGTGGCCTGAGGTGGAGGAACATATAAACGGGCCCCACGCACTCAGCCACGCATACGTTCGTTTTTCGCTGTTCGTGACACCGCTCGCCACCCTGTCGGGAAAAACGCCCGGCCAAAAGAAATCGCGCGTTTGATGTGCCGCCAAAGGGAACGCGTGCATACTCGCATGCGATGAAAGAGCGGCAAACAAGGGTGGAGGGGGGGCGGGCAAGAGAGAGCGAGAAAGAGACGGAGAGAATATTCCGTCGGTCGAGTTACAATTTCGTGTGGGTTGGTCGGTCGACTGCAACCACGTTTCCACCCCATCCAACCCCTGCACACCCTCTGCCCCCGTGCGCCCGCACCCGACCACCCTTCTGCCCCCCACTTCGTCTGTGTCCTTCTCGTTTCGCTTAAACGTAACAATTATTACCGGAAAAGCGCTGCACACGCATGCGGCAAACCGCGGGACCCGCCGACGGAATTACATTGATATTAGTATCGTTTCAGCCGGCAGATTAATTAATTAAAACGCGCCTCTTCCCACCATTCTCGAAACGTCTCCCCTTCCTCTCTCGATACCCCGCGCCCATGGCTTTCTCACCGCTGGCCACTTTTGATGTACGCATACATGTGCGCGTGTTTAACTGTGTCAGAGCGTACGAGGTTTTGGATACGCTTGTGCGGGAAATCGAGGCGCGTGATTTTGTTGGGAGCTGTGGGTTCTCTCGAAAATTTTGTTTGATGTTGGATTAAGTTTGTATATCGAAAAGGTGCGTGTCAGGTACACAAGTTTGAATCCGACAGAAAAATTGTGAACGAAGTTACTGATCATTCTGAAAGCGTTAATCTTGGTGTTATTCAATTGGTAATGCTTTAATCGTTCCTTTGTTTCAATACGTTTCAGATCACTGACGTTTTCTCCGAAACTAACATGTGAAAGCTATCTTACTCCCTTATTGCGTAACAATTCCATTTTATAGCGATTCTACGGATTTTTCGGCTAGTTGTATATTATTGAATTGATAAATACATTTAAACGAAAGTAACGATAATGTGATTTTCAATGGTGATTGTTAAATGTCGCGTAGCTGATTACATCGAGTCGACCGAAAAGTCTTCCCGCTCTTTTGCCATGTAGCCTTTGTATTGTAATGCGCGAGTAAATATGCAAATAATGTTATAAACGAAAATAAGTTGCGAAAGTAGACGTCTCGATGCGTCATTTGGAAAGGAAAGTATAAAGATTGACTGGATTTATCGCGATCAGCACAGCTTTGCAATGTCAATTGATAGGATGCGTCTTCGACGCATTGTGTCGCATTACTATTGCAAGGGTAAAAGTATAGTACAATCCAGAAAAAAATGTGTACAGTGCACAGCGAAGGTGCTGTGAATAGTAGGTTATGCCAATTTTGGTTTGCCAAATTTCGTGTCGAAAACGCTCTGGAAGGCTAATGAAAGTTGACAATGATCGAATTCAGGCATTAGCTGAGAATGATCCGCATAAAACCACACGGGAGATTGCAGAGATCAACATTGAAAACTATTTACATAATCTTGGTTGCATAAGTCGTTCGGGTGCCGCGCAAGTTGAAAACACGAGAAGACATTTTGGCCAATCTAATAGTTTAGAATTTAGGTGATCATTAAGTAGCTGAGGGGCGGAAAATTGGTGACGAATTGCCAACATGGTTGACGGTTAACGATAATTTAACACGATATTTAAAACGATTATTAAAAGTTGATAGTTGAGGTATTATTATAAATGGAAGTTTCTGTTATTGGTGGTGATTTCCCTTACCTTTCTTCGCGTGCAGAATATCCGCGGGATCCGGCGGCAAGGCTGTACAGTGACTTGGACTTAAACTGGGCTGCAGGGATGGAAATGGACTGCCAGCACCAGATGGATACCTAATGTGGAATAAAATTTAATGGTGGATGGAACTCGTTTGCAGATAATCTATTATAAGAAATTCTGTTAGTATACTAATCAATTTGACATAAAAACGTGTAATTAGTAGGTCCTTTTGTTAAAGAATTATAAGAGAATAGTGAAGAATTGAAATGAAAAATTAACGGTTTTTCGTAGTTTCAACTATAAATAAATAATGTCGGTTTTGCAAATGCAACGGGCGAATAAATTGTATATACTTGTGACTATGTGAAAAATAAGCAGTTGCATAATATCTACGTTGGTGCACGAAGATAATGGTACTGTTGTCCATTCACCGGTGTATTCTGTTCGAGAAGGTTTTCTGCTAATTTTTATTGACACAACGATGTGTCAAAACATAACGAAAAATTATCGAAGAATATTTTTTACTTCTACAATAATTATGCAAATTGAAAAATTAATCAAATTACATTTCAGATTTTCATATGTTTTGGATAATGAAGAAAATGTAGCGCAGGAACTTTTTTACCAATATAATTTACTGAAATTTCTCTTATACAAACTAAAGTTCCGTTAAGTAAAGTAGCTGATTACATCGAGTCGACCGAAAAGTCTTCCCGCTCTTTTGCCATGTAGCCTTTGTATTGTAATGCGCGAGTAAATATGCAAATAATGTTATAAACGAAAATAAGTTGCGAAAGTAGACGTCTCGATGCGTCATTTGGAAAGGAAAGTATAAAGATTGACTGGATTTATCGCGATCAGCACAGCTTTGCAATGTCAATTGATAGGATGCGTCTTCGACGCATTGTGTCGCATTACTATTGCAAGGGTAAAAGTATAGTACAATCCAGAAAAAAATGTGTACAGTGCACAGCGAAGGTGCTGTGAATAGTAGGTTATGCCAATTTTGGTTTGCCAAATTTCGTGTCGAAAACGCTCTGGAAGGCTAATGAAAGTTGACAATGATCGAATTCAGGCATTAGCTGAGAATGATCCGCATAAAACCACACGGGAGATTGCAGAGATCAACATTGAAAACTATTTACATAATCTTGGTTGCATAAGTCGTTCGGGTGCCGCGCAAGTTGAAAACACGAGAAGACATTTTGGCCAATCTAATAGTTTAGAATTTAGGTGATCATTAAGTAGCTGAGGGGCGGAAAATTGGTGACGAATTGCCAACATGGTTGACGGTTAACGATAATTTAACACGATATTTAAAACGATTATTAAAAGTTGATAGTTGAGGTATTATTATAAATGGAAGTTTCTGTTATTGGTGGTGATTTCCCTTACCTTTCTTCGCGTGCAGAATATCCGCGGGATCCGGCGGCAAGGCTGTACAGTGACTTGGACTTAAACTGGGCTGCAGGGATGGAAATGGACTGCCAGCACCAGATGGATACCTAATGTGGAATAAAATTTAATGGTGGATGGAACTCGTTTGCAGATAATCTATTATAAGAAATTCTGTTAGTATACTAATCAATTTGACATAAAAACGTGTAATTAGTAGGTCCTTTTGTTAAAGAATTATAAGAGAATAGTGAAGAATTGAAATGAAAAATTAACGGTTTTTCGTAGTTTCAACTATAAATAAATAATGTCGGTTTTGCAAATGCAACGGGCGAATAAATTGTATATACTTGTGACTATGTGAAAAATAAGCAGTTGCATAATATCTACGTTGGTGCACGAAGATAATGGTACTGTTGTCCATTCACCGGTGTATTCTGTTCGAGAAGGTTTTCTGCTAATTTTTATTGACACAACGATGTGTCAAAACATAACGAAAAATTATCGAAGAATATTTTTTACTTCTACAATAATTATGCAAATTGAAAAATTAATCAAATTACATTTCAGATTTTCATATGTTTTGGATAATGAAGAAAATGTAGCGCAGGAACTTTTTTACCAATATAATTTACTGAAATTTCTCTTATACAAACTAAAGTTCCGTTAAGTAAAGTGATATGTAATAACAGACGAAAAATAAGCTCTTTATCAGCGATGAGCGTTTGAATTTCAATTCCGACGCGATTCGAAGTTTTTCGATACTGTAAGAAATTCAAATCATTTCAAATCTCTTAAAAGTCACGATAAGTCTTGAATCTTAAGTCTTGATAGGTCCTGAGACTTTAAAGTTTCGATAGGTTTTGAAAGTCTTGGAAGTCCTGAAAGCTTTGAAATTTTTCATCGGTCCTGAATGCTTCGTGAGTATTCAATGTCTTACATATGAGTATTCGATATCATTAACATTACATATCATAAAATATAATTGGACAAAGGTATTCGAAATGCTTGAAAGATATTAAGTACTCACCAAGCTTTCAAGTCCTATCAAAATTTTCAAGACTTCGAACCTATCAAGGCTTTCAAGATGTGTTGAAAATTTCAAGATCAAAACCTATCAAGACTCAAGATTTAAGACTTATCGAGACTTTCAAAAGCTTCAAGTTTCGAATATACGCTCGAAGTGATTCGAATTTTTCGCCACATGTACATATCTAACGTGCTTCCAAGTATTTCAAAACCCATCACTACTCACCATGGATTGGGCCTCGGCCATCCAGTGGTCTGTCCATTCAGTAGCCTCAGTTTATCGTAAACGCTCTCAGCCGGACTGCCAGCACCGACTCCAACGCCAACAGCAGAAACCCCTTGCTGCTGCTGTTGCTGTTGCTGTCGTTGCTCTTTTTGTGCTGCTAAATTTCTCAATACCCTATTAATAGACGACACCTGAAATCAGAAATGACAAAAACACGTTACTTATAAAACATAGCTTCTCCACTTATAATTGTAGCTAAATATCTCTACTTATTAAGAAAAAGAATGTTATCACCAGATGGCTCGTTATTATATTGAACAATGTTCGTCGGACACTTTTTTCTTGCTTTCACTAACAACGTTAGTGTTGAATAGTATTAGAATAACATTATTATATCAGCTAATATCTCTTAAGTTAATGCCTATTTCTCCATATTCCAGCAAGGTATTTGCTATTTTTAAGTTAAGTCAGAATAATTGAAATTCTATTGTAATATTAACAATTAATTGTCTGAACATGTTTTAAATGAATAAAAATCATTTTATCCATCTTGCCTTTTACATAATAAAGAACTAAAAGAATGGCTTAATTTTTACGTGATATATGAGTAATATACGTAACATACGAATAAATATTCCGTTCACAGTACTGCTCGTCCATAGTAAGAATTTGGCTTCAGAGTGTTTAGCACTTAGAAAGTAAGTTCCAGCCTCATATATACAGGGTGTTCCACAGTTAAAGGATCAAACTGTGCCAGTATGTTCTATGAGCAGAAATGAGGAGAAAATATATAAATATAGGTCTGGAAACGCTTTATTAAAAAGTTACATAAGTCAGTGATATTTATCCAATCGGTTTATTTTAGCCAGGTTTACCGTTTAACAGTATTGAAAATTTTGATCATCATGTTGCACTAAAAAGTAAGGAAAATAATTTCGTTCAATTTTCGATTTCAAAATGTTAACTTTCATATTGTCGTGATATTGTAGAGTATAGTACCGTATAGGTAGATGCACTATATCTTGCTCCAATAAAACGCATTCTGTGCCGAATCTCCCGTTTTCCTTTCTGTTCCTAGGAATTCGTCGTTCTTTTCATGCTTTCTCTTTCATAATTATTTACACCTGCTGTATAACCCTTTACTTGCACAATTTGATCGTTTAACTTTTGAAATTCGTTAAGCAGCCTATGCAAGGCATAGGGGCGCCAATGACAGTGGCACCTCGGACGCGAAAGGAGAATGTTTTAATTTTCACCAAGCGGTTTTTTCGAGAAGTTACATTGTTTACAAACTACTTTTTTGTGCGAATCACAAGTTCCAATAGAGTTACAAGTGACCAATTAATGCTAAACATTATAATAACAATAATTCTAGGGCGCCGCATAAATTCTCGCGTAAGGGCGCCAAGCACCCCAGCGCCGTCCCTGCTTTGTAACTATTATTTATCTGAGTATACAGAGATTTCCTGTAACGCGATATCAAGCAAGTGTATCAAGCACCATCCTCTTATTTTCTCCAGAGGAACACCAACGAGCGGGGTAACGACGCAAGCCAAGGGATGCACCGAGTGGCTCACAAAAGAAAAGCAGACACTACTCGCTTATTTCCAATCACGTTTATCCGCGTACAGTAACAGTTTCCAGGGATGCCTTTAGGAGATCGCACATTGGCTCGAGATGCACCGGATTTATTATAAACACGAAACGCTTCGGTTCGAGCCAGTCAGAGAGAGAGAGAGAGAGAGAAGGAGAGTGAGAGTCGAGGATTCGAAGCTAGAGGGGTGAGAGAGCGCTTCTGCCCGATGAAATGCGATGAGAGCGGTAATTAAAACGATGCGGTGAGCGGCGTGTGCTCCACGAGGGAGTTAATTACCTCCGCCTTCAATTATATCCGTCTCGCGTCACTCCAAGGGGACTTTGGCTTCTGCCAACCTAAGTACGCACTCGCGCGTCTGCGGCGCGAAACACGTGCACCAGGCCAACTACACGCGCGATGCTACTTCGGCCGATTGACGTGCACTGCCGCGTGTTCCGCAATTTCCGCCTGTGTCCTCCTCGAAATTTAGCGAAATTTCGCGGCACCTTCTTAGGATATGAAACGAGAGGTTGACACAACGATTTGGTTTTAAGCGTGTATCGACGTTGATTATTTAGACTGCGCATGTTTATGCAAATGCAGATTTTTGTAGAAGAAAGGACTTGGATAGAAGTTTACTACGTCTATTCGTATATGTATGTTTGGAAGTGACGTGGTGTAAAGTAATTACTCGCGCAAGTTGCTTAACAAAAATACATTTATTTATTTAACCGATAACGCTTAAACTAATTTTAAAATGTACAGGCGACACGATGCACGTAGAAAGAAAGACTACGACAGAAAGCCTCCTGCCTTTTTCGGGGCTCCCTTAAGTAGCCCCTTTTCCCTGGGAAAGTCCCAGGAAGTGGAGGCGCGGGCCTGCATTGCCGGGGCAATACTCTTGTCCTAGAGGACGAAGAAACTCGGAGATGCTTGGGAAAACATCTCTCGATTCTGCGCCTCGAGGGCCAAGAGTCGCCAGGCCTGAGTGCGTGGCCCCCCCGTGGCGGTCGCCACATATGTATACTAAAATCTATCTTTTATTTTGCATATCTTGCACATTTCATTTAAACGGCATATCTTGCACATTTCATTTAAACGACATATATGCATGGATATAATGCATATTCCGTGCATATGTAACATTAGGTTGTCCGGAAATAAATTGCGGTTTCTGTACATGGGATTTAAACACGTGTAGTTTTTCTTAGAATGAATTTATTTCATCGAAATAATTTCCAACGTTTCACAAGAGTTCCTATTCCATGACAATAAAGATCAGGAGTTCTAGAATTAATAAATTCCACGAAGGTATTTACAGCATCCTCTTTATTGCGGAAGATTTTTTCTCGCAAAAAGTTATCCAAATATTTAAAAAAATGGTAATCTGTAGGCGATAAGTCGGGGGAATAAGGAGTGTGTCTTCCGAATCGTGAATTGTGATACGTTATCGTGTAAGAGTATTGGTCCCTCACGATTTACCAAACTTGCTTGTTTAACAAATAACTTTTTATGCATTATAATCATTAGCTGTGCTTTCGCCGAATACTCGATTGAGTTTCCGCGGCTTTACGTCCTAATTTAAATTCATATAAAAATATGGTACGAATTTGCTTCTTGTCCATTGCTACGTTTTTAAGTTATACTCAGAACAAATGACGGTAAAAAACAAAAGTGTATCGCTTATATGATAGAGCGAGATCTACGCGTTCAAATGGTATATTACTTAATAAACATAAATTTAAAATATATAGTATAGAAAAGCTTTAAATATGACATAACAGAAAACCGCAATTTACTTCCGGACAACCTAATAGCATACAGTCACCGGAATTAATATTCGGACACCCTTTAAAACGGTATAACTCTTTTAAAATTGGACCAGACGACTTGAGTTTTTTTTTTTTTGAAAAGTTAGAAGGATGAGTTTATTATATAATATAATATTAACTTTACTATACTATAGACGATGTGTACAAAATATTTTGAAAAAATTGCAATTAGTGGGAATTGCGAAGAAAATAGTAAAAGTCATTTTTTTGCAACTTTTTTATCTGAGCCTATAATGAAAATTTAAAACATACGTTTTGTAAATTTATGTCAGTTATATACCTGCATACTGAAAATTTCATCGAAGTGAAACCGGTTCAAAATTGTGAAAATCGGAGTTCTCGCGACTTTTGGCCTATAGGTAATTGCAATAAATTTCAAGATTCTTTCGATGCCTGCCGCGTTCCTGCAATTTTAAAAAAGGTATACCATTTTAAAGGGTGCCCGAATATTAATTCGGGTCACTGTATCTATCTCGGTAAACACGTTTAATCCGTCACCGATTGTGTAACTTATTTCATCGGTGGTAATTTATTGCAATTCGAATTGTAACATATAAAAACAACGATATACAATAAATTATACTATGTTTCGTGTAGGTACCTATATCCTGCATATTTCGTGCATAGGTAACTTGTTACATATTCTGATATATTTTACTTGAATAAACATCCGCAGTCTATTGATTATAATCGATAGAAGTGAGTGGTTTTCTTTGATAGATTTTTTGTAGTTGTACTAAACTATTTATTTATATTTGTTATTTTAAATAATGCTAATTAAGGGTTTTAGAAATCATGATACTATCGCAGAATCAGTATTTCACTATAAACTGTTTCGAAGCACCTTTAATTGTTTAGGGCCACGTCGTATGAAGTCGTGGCTCATTTTTCTGTTAGAATGTCTACTCTCTCCGCGATTAATGAAAATACCAGGACAGCATTTGTTTTTTAGATAATTATTAGTAATTTTAATGGTTGTTTTTAAGTTTTGTGTCGATACATGCATGGCAATAATTTAAAAAATGTTTTAAATCTATTTAAATTGCATTAATTAACGAGGTATTCCAACGATACCAATTTTTTCTTCATATCTATTGTTCGAACATTCAAAACAGGTTTCGAACGCGTACGTATATTTACAAAATTTTCACAAACTGCCAATAATCATACACTGTCGTTCATAAATATTAGGGCGCCTACTATGTCTGTACAGAAAGTATTATAGGTATGACTTAAATTGCATTTCTTCGGCAAAGTCAGTATCGTATCGTTATCTTAATACTACAACTAGACATTTTAAATTCATTAGTAGAAAAACCGAGTTCATCACCGAGTTTTAGCATTAAACATGAAGCTGACTTTAAACTTATCCACTTTTATCACAAAGGAAACTCCGATTTCTGATACACTTATCTAGAAAAAGTCAATTTACAGAAATTACGGATAGAAGTGCAACAAAGGAAGCAAAATTTAATTATTGCCTGTTTTTTAGAACTTATGGAGTATAAGTGACAATGTACCAGTAAAAATATGCGAGCTCGTTGTACCACGACATTCCAAACTTAACAATTCTTTTTGGACCTTAGTAATGACTGGTTAGATTTAGTTCACATTGAATAAGTGTCTATAACCTTTTACATAGATAACACTGCAAGTATCATCGGATTCGCAGTCGTAAAAATTGAAGCTAGAAGCGCTATTGAAAAATTTCTCCACTACCTTGACAAAAAAGTAAATTTTATTGTCATACGATTGGAAATAATTATGCATATCTTCGAATGAA